CAGTCATTTCTTGCCATTTATAGGGCGCCGGTGTCGTTCCCTGAAAAGGATCAACGACCTTACCCACTACTTCCATAAGCGGACGCAGCTTCACGAACGCCGCAGAAAATTATCACAAGAAGCAGCACCGCGGGATAAAAAACACGCCGGGACATGCTGGGCATTTGCTGCTCACTCTCTCTTCCTTCCCTCCTCCTTCCGCTGGATCCGGTCACGCCGCAACGGTTGTGTTTGTTGGGTGCCTTGACAGCAGCAACTCGTGAGAGCATACAAATATGTGTGTGTGGGCGGTGTGTGTGCTGTTGTTCCTTTCAGTGCCTTCGAATTTCACAGTGGCGATTAGCGCTTGGTCGTAACGCTTTTCCTTCGTGTGTGCGAAAAAGCAGGGAGAGAAGGAAGCATGCCAAGCAAAGAGACAAAACAGTGAGCACCGTCACCCATCCACCGTGATTGGCACCATCATCCCCGCCGCAGCCACTCCCAACAGCAACTCACGCACACAGACACACGGAACAGGAGAAGGAAGAACAGCGCACCGGGAACAAACAGCGACTGTCAACGCAAGGCAGCGTCTACACAACAAACGCACACACCGCCAGCAGCCACACACCAATGGACAAGAACGAGAAAAGACCCACCGCCATCATCGCCTCCAGTTCAGTCCCACGGACAACGGGATACGGCCACAGCCCGCAGCCAACAAACACAGCGCACGCGGAGCAAGCAGTCACCCAAAGAGCCACACGCGGAAGCGATTCCTCATCCATCCATGACGCGGCGCCTCACCCCACGCGGTTACACAGAGTTCGCCATTTCCTCAATAGAAATTGATCTTCGTCCATCCCTTAGAGATGCTTCTGTTCGTGATGGACCTTGGAAAACAACAGAATAAAATAAAAAATGCAGTGATACCGCAATGCCGCCAGCAACAATGATTCGCTCATACCGGGGCAATTCTCCAATTATGCCTCGTATGAACACACAATTAACGTGGTGTATGAAAATACCAAATGTTTTTCACTAAAAACAAAAACTATTTCCCTCCCTAATTTATTTTCCCATTTCTGTGGTTATTCCCCACCTCAGAGAGCCTCGCCCCTTCTGGAGCTTTCCAATGACACTGACACTTGTTACTGGCGCACCTTTTCCGTTCCAAAACACCGCTATTTCATGGCTTTTATCGTCGCTCACACTATTGGAATTATCGACATGACGTCTCCGCCAGTCATCCATCGGCGTGCTGCCTAAGTGTTGTATACATAATCTCCCACGACATGTCTCGGAACAATTCCCCCAACCGTTAAAATATGCCGCCAGACACTCAGTGAACGGCCGCACAGTGCTGGCGGTGGTGTGGTGCTCACCCGCCGGAATCATCCGCAGCCCAACCAGCGTCATTGGATTTGAGTCCACGAAGAAAAAGGCGTCCACCAGCGGAAGGTTTGTGGCCCACGGGTTGTGCAGCACCCCGTACTTTATTTTACGGATCGTTTTTTCATATTCACTCGGCAGCAAACCCTCATCTCCCTTGGGATGCAATTCAGGGCCAACTACAAAACGCAGGGCTTTGCTTGACGTCCTGTTGGCGGCTCAAACTCCGTGAGTTTCGTCGCCATTGCCTTGACAAAGGCACTCTCCGTGAACGATTTCAAAGCAAACCATCCAAAAAATATGGGCAAAATATTGTCCTTCGACGCCAACATCAGCCTCAAAAGCTATTTTATTCTGCTACACTTGGGAGGCGTTCCAATGTCCGTTCCTCGAGGCAAGCAGACAGCGGTGCATTGAAAAGGATCACACCGCCTGCGTATATTTCCCGAACAACCTTCACAAGCCTGTGGGACGGATCCTCAGAACACCATGGCGACTCACCTCCCCGTGAAAAGTACTCTTTCACAGTTACCTCGTTGATCGACTGCAATGCAAACTCCACCGCTCCACAGCGTCCATTAAACGCCTCCTCATCAAAGACGTGACGTGGAATCGGTCCCAAAAGATACATGTGTTTTTTGACCTCTTTCCAGCATTACGCTTGTTTCTCTTTAGCCCCGCCACGCGTCATCCAGGCGCACACCGCCTTCACATCCACCTCGTCGGGGCAATTCACGATGATTCGCGCGGCTTGCAGTTGCTTCGCCCACTCATCATAGTTGGCTACGTTTGGGGAAGGCACCACAATCATGCCCCATCCAGAAGTAGGCGCAAAATGTCTCGGTGGCGGCGTTCCCTCCTTTGCCACATCGTAGATAATATACACATTCCCCCCATGCCCCCTCAAACGTCTCAACTCCGAGATGCACATGTCCTCATCGCCGCATCTTGTCACCGTCCTGCTGGTCTTGTCAGACACGTACGCATCTCGTCCACCAAAACAGTGGACTACCAGTTGGAGCTGTTCGACATCGTAGTGCAGCAGCTGGTAGAGGAGGTACGAGCCGGCAGCCATCGACTTCCCGATCCCGGCATCCCAATCAACACACGCCGCCCAGGCTTAAAGTCAGTCCCACCGTGAGGGCTGGACCACGCGGTTACATCGCCCTTGACGATCTGCCACGCTCGCTCCACCTCGCAGTTCACAAAAACGTCCTTAGGAAGATCCTGTATCGTATGCCACGAGTACGGCCATCCCTTCTCCGAGGCAAGCACCATCAACACGGGAGGTGCTGAACCACATTGCTGCACAGCGTCATCCTTTTCGAGGGTGTTGCCAACTTCCCTGTACGACCATTACTGTTCTGGCCTCCCCTCATGCACCCCCATTCCCGTCCCCGTTTTCTTTCGCTCATCGCCGTCCGGAAGTTCCACCGCATGGCTCCGCCTCGCATTGTGCACAGACTTGTACACTCCCTCCAGTTTCTCCGGTGCGCTCGTCGTCGTTGGGTTCCTCGCCTCCTCGGCAGCTGCATCCAAGAAATGTTTGGTGGAGTTATGAACAGCTGCTTTTACGTCCGCAGCAGCCAATGACCACCCCGGTAGATTGTTGACACCCTTATCGCATAGCCTGCGTATATCCTCGTCGAAGACCACTTCACCCTTTACAGCTCGCCTCATACCCAAATAACGACCTGATGCCTGCATTTCGTTCAACGCTCCTTTATCACGGATATACCTCGTGGGGTCCCTGAAAAACTCCTCCAGCATGACATCCCGATTGGTGTCCACAATGCCCCTGCCGTCCAGTTCCCTCGTAAGAAAGTCGTTCAGCCTCATTACGTTGACGCGAGCTCTTCCCTTAAACAGTACATCATCGATATTACTGGAAATGGTAAACTTCATTTCTTGCGTTCGTCTTAGCCTTTCCTCTGCCTCCCGCCTCGCTTCTGTCGGTACCTGCGTGAGTACCCCGTTTGGTGTTCTTCTTGCAAGAGGAGTGATCGTATGCTTTTCTTTCATAGTCCCTACGTTGCCCGAGAGAGTGCACACCTTCGTGAAGAGGCCTAGTAATGGCCCCCAGCGCTTGGTGCGCAGTGAGGTTAAGAATTTCTTCAAGGAGCCGCTGGTCTTGTACGTAATCATCCGGCTCCTGAACAAACATCTCCATCGTCACATTGTATTCTTTCATCAACGGCCGCCCTGCCGCCAACATAATTCCAAAGGAAATCGTTCAGCCTCATGTTGGTGCTGCTCATGGTCCACTGCGGTCACACTTTACTCCCCGCCGCATGTCGAGCTGCAGCGTCGGAAACATCACAAGAGCCGCTGCGAGGTGCCATCACAACACCCGTGCGGTGAAGCATCCCACTCGCACCGCCCAACTGCGGCATGCAGGTGCCGCTGGCTCCAAAGGACAGTCGCGGCTGTTTCCTCCCGCAGTCCCAATGGCGTTGGGCGCGGCACTCGCACGGCTCGGTGGTCGGTGCAGCCGCACTGCAACGCCTGTCGGTGAAGCAGTCAAGGCCCACCGCCCCAGCAGCAACACGAGGCGTGCAACCAACCCCAACAACGC